GGCCTATGTAAACTTCTTTACATAAAGAAGTTACGTAAAGAAGCTAGCAAGATAGTTTGGGGAGAGGTTGATGGTCTCAATTTAGATAATTATTTTTCTAAGTCGTTAAGTGTACATAAAATGTTTTTATTAAGCATATTTTGGTAACACCTCTTCTTTTTTCATCTGTTGTGAATATCTGAATCCTTGAAAAGAAGGTAGTAGTAGAAACAGAAAAAGAGGAGAAAAATGGAACTAGTGATAGGAGATAGCCCCAGGGCTGCAATAAGTTGGGAGTTGCTATCAACCATCCATAGCCTTGAATAAAGTTTGTAATAATGATGGCAATATTTGCAACAATTGAATAAAAAAGAATTTGATTTGCTTTTTTAAAAATAATACATCCACTGGCATCGAGAAAGACAATGTCTGCTCTTAATCCCTTGGTACTAAGAAAAAGCCTATTTGGGGTATTTATTTGCTATTTATTGTCAGTCCTCTCTCCTCTTATTCTCTATCTTCCTAAAGTCATGGGAATAAAGAAGAATTCTCCTGCAGAGGAATACAACTTGCTGTGGATTGGTTTCTAGATAAAGGCCATAAAGATATTACTGTATTTGTGCCTGCATGGAGAAAGGAGCAATCCCGCCCTGATGCACCAATTACAGGTACTATCTAAAAATAAGACATATCTTCTCATCTAGAGGCAAAACTAACAAGATAGTTTGTGGGGGGGTTGCTGGTGTCAACTGAGACAATTATTTTTCTAAGTTGTTAAGTATACATAAACTATTTTTATTAAGCATATTTTTGATAAACTGATCCAAATACAACAATCATTGTTTTGTGGCACACGGCAGTTAAATGGAGAAAACTTCAATTCAGTAAAGGATAAAGCACAAAGTTGAAAAAAAAAAAGGAGTGCTTTTCTATTTGACTTCAGACTAAAGGGGAATGAATCTGGTTATGAATATGGACTGAATTTTTCAAGAGACTAAAGACATCATGGTAGACAATGGACCTCATTCTGTACCAGAGAAGTAATTGTGGGGTTTGCAAATCACGGGGTGAAATAGAAAGAGAGGAAAGTCCCATGTCAGTCAGAGCCAACTTATCCATGAGGCATAGTAGGTTCAGCTCTGACGGCTGATGATATTGTTAAAGTCCCATGGAAAGTCTTTATTTTCACATCAGAAGAAAAAATAGAATATAATAAAAGTGAATATATAATGATATATCTAGCTTGATTATATTTGGATTTATACCACTGCAGTTGTAGAATAAAATGTTTAATATTTCTTTATAGAGGAAGGGGGCCCATGAAGGCAAAAGTGCCTAAGGTCCACAAAAGTCATGATGCAGTCCAAGTGGAAGTAGGGTCATTACCTTCACTTACAACAGTATCTGAAGTATGTGCCGTTTACAGCATTTGAGACCATATAAACTCCAGTCCTCTGAGTATCAGCTCTTGCCTGATGTGGCTAATGAGAAAATCCAGTGAATGGGAGGCTGAGCTGTATGTGGAGCTATTTGCCATCTGCTGAACAGGCTCTCAAGCCTCAGTCTGAGAGTAGATCCTGGCCCTGCTCGAGCCCAGCCAGCAAGCTTTCTCTCCCCAGGAATTAGGAGGCCAAAAGGAAAGGGGGTCAATACTCAGATGCTATAGCTTGATATTTCACCTTAGTTTTGGCTTTTCTTCAGGCAGAAGTCAAAAATGTAAGTCCCTAGGAGTGATGGTATACTCTCCTCCTGACAGACACATCCTCAGGATACTGTCCTGTTTTCTTTAACAGCCAGAAAGCTGGTGCTTTGGCCAAAGGTCAAAACAAGCATCAAGAATGCTAGGTATCGGTGTTACTTCTCACTCTTCATGGTAGTTTTTAGAACTTAGATGTCATTGAATCCAGTTCCTTCATTTCATTGAAAAGAAAACCCTGAAGTCCGAAGGGGAGGGTGACATGCCTAAGGTCACGATCCAACCAGAAAGAGAGCCCGATTTCCCTCTAAGGGCAAATAATATCTTGATCTAGTACCAACTTTTGTATTTGTAATATGGAGATAATGTTGTTAATTTCCAAAGATGTTTCTGCTTTGTAGCATATAACCATATTTCGACAGATCAAGATATTCTACGTAAACTGGAGAAGGAAAAGATTCTTGTCTTCACGCCATCCCGAAGAGTCCAGGGCAGGAGGGTTGTCTGCTACGATGATCGGTTCATAGTCAAACTGGCTTTTGATTCTGATGGCATCATTGTGTCCAATGATAACTACAGAGACCTTCAAGTCGAAAAGCCAGAATGGAAGAAGTTTATTGAGGAGCGGTTGCTGATGTATTCTTTTGTGAATGACAAGTGCGTTTCTTTCCAGTAGGCCTATAACCCAGTTATCAGTAGGAATAGATTTCATTTCAATAAACATTTACTGAGCAGTTACTGTGTACCACACGTTACGCTGGTTGCCATGGAGATAAAAGGCTGGATAAAAAGTAGGATTCACCTTTATGGGATGCAAAGTGTAGTGAAGAAGAGAAAGAGACAACCACAATGTGTTGTGATAAGTGCTACAGTTAAAGTTTTTTAAAATTGCTTTGTCTATATGAAGCAATAGGAAAAGGCCTCCCAAAGGAGATGACATTTGAGATGCAGTTTAGAGAGGAAAGGGGGCTGCTAGGCAATGACAGGGTGAAGGAGACATCATGAATAAAGCTATGAAGGTGAGAAAGTGGGTTCCTCCTATTGGGGGAACCAGCAGGAATGGCGGTATGGCTAGCACATACAGTTCGTGGAAGAATGATGTACAGAGAAAATCATCCTTTCTGTATGATCAAGTGGGAACCAAGGGAAGAACTGCCAGATTGGCAGAAGATAGACTTGAGACAGGAAGGGCCATTAGAACGCTGTGACAACAGTACAGGCAAGAGGTAATGGAGGTCTGGACTCCTGGTAAGGGGTAGTAGGGACAGAAAGGAAGACATTCACCCCTGGTTTGATTGCTTTCAGATTTATGCCTCCAGATGATCCTTTAGGACGCCATGGCCCAAGCCTTGAAAATTTCTTAAGAAAGAGGCCTGTTGTTCCTGAGCATAAGAAGCAACCATGTCCTTATGGTGAGTACCTGTGTGCAGAACTGAGCTCTGTACTAAGGGAAACATAAAGGACTCTGAATACTTTTCTCTTCCAGGTTTCCCTTTCAATGGGAAATCCTCGCTTGTCCACTTTCTATGAGTAAAAGTTTATGTCTTCATGTGCTCTAAGTTATGTATTTAAAGAAAAATCTTAGAAATTGCATGAGGAAAAGGTAACTAGAATTGAAGGGAAGATTAGTTGTCACTTGTGAAAATAACGTATGTGCTCTAGCTGCCCGAGTCTTGAACGATGTTGCTGGGAGCAGGGAAATGCAGAAACCTACATGGCCTATGGAACCAGAAAGGGCAACGCCAAACCGGGTTTGGCCCCAAGAAGAACATGTCTCTCATGCAGGTGGCTCAAGCCTCTGTCAACTAATACTACCCCTTTCTTCTAATCTGTACTTTCCAATTTGCCTCCAAACTTCATGTTCATTTGCTTTTAAAAAATATTGTTTTCTAGAGTATTTTGGCACTCTCACCCAAGTCCCTCTGATACAAACTTTGTGAGCCTAACAGTGCAACATGGGCTGCTTGGTCTGAGGCTATTTTGGATGTTTTCTTTTGGGGGATAATCCTTGGTTTTATGTGGTATTTTGTTTTTTGTCCTCAACATTTAAATCACAGAGTACATTCATGTTCATTATCTCATTTAATCTTTATAATGACCCCATGTAGGCATGATTATGAACCTTGTTTACAGAAGAGGAAAACGAGGCTCAGAAAATAAAGTAACTTACCAAGATTACATGGCTAGTAAGGGACATAGCTGGAATTGAAACTCAGGTCTGACTGGCCTCCAAACCTGTGCTCTGTGCACTGCACCATGCTGCCTTCTGTTACTCTACACTGCCTCAGCATGCAGATCATGCCTAAGCAAAGTAATGCATTACTGGAAAATTAAGCCTAGTCAACTGCTCAGCTCCTAGTCTTTACTCTGCAATTTCCTCCCCCGCTTTCCACTTCTTCCCTCTACCGTCACAGTGTGTGATGCCTCCTTGGTGTTGTCTGTCTCTCATCTTTACAGACAGTTAATTTTCTGCCTTAACCCCAAACAGTAAAACCCTAACCTAAGTGACCAGATTGTTATGATAGTTTCTGGCACAGAGGGTTACATCACTATGAGAGAGAGTCTTACCCCAAGGCATTATTTTTCAGGCAAAAAATGCACCTACGGCCACAAGTGCAAATACTACCATCCGGAGCGGGCCAACCAACCCCAGCGTTCGGTGGCTGATGAGCTCCGCATCAGTGCCAAACTGTCCACAGTGAAAACCATGAGTGAAGGCACCCTGGCCAAGTGTGGCACAGGGATGTCTAGTGCCAAAGGTGAGATAACCTCAGAGGTCAAACGTGTGGCCCCCAAGCGCCAATCAGATCCCAGCATCCGGTCCATGGCTGTGGAGCCTGAGGAATGGCTGCCCATTGCCCGTAAGCCTGAGGCCAGCTCTGTCCCCTCGCTTGTGACCGCCCTAAGTGTCCCCACAATCCCACCTCCCAAAAGCCATGCAGTGGGTGCACTCAACACCCGTTCAGCCAGCAGCCCAGTGCCAGGATCCTCCCATTTCCCCCACCAGAAGGCCTCACTGGAGCACATGGCCAGCATGCAGTACCCTCCCATCCTGGTTACCAATAGCCATGGGACCCCTATTACCTATGCTGAGCAATACCCAAAGTTTGAGTCCATGGGGGACCATGGCTACTATTCAGTGTTAGGTGACTTCTCCAAACTAAACATCAACAGCATGCATAATCGAGAGTACTACATGGCTGAAGCAGACCGGGGGGTGTATGCCCGGAATCCCAACCTCTGTCCTGATAGCCGAATGAGCCATACCAGGAACGACAACTATTCCTCTTACAACAACTTGTACTTGGCTGTAGCTGATGCCCATCCTGAAGGCAGTTTGAAGCTGCACCGCTCAGCATCTCAGAACCGTCTTCAGCCTTTTCCTCATGGTTACCATGAAGCCTTAACACGAGTGCAGAGCTATGGCCCAGAGGATTCTAAGCAAGCCCCCCACAAGCAGTCAGTCCCCCACTTAGTCCCCCAGCACCCAACAACTGGAGCACGTTCCAACTGCCCTGGAGACTACCCCATGCCTCCCAATATCCATCCTGGGGCAACCCCCCAGCCAGGCCGTGCCCTGGTGATGACTCGGATGGATAGCATTTCTGACTCCCGCCTCTATGAGAGCAACCCCATGAGGCAAAGACGACCTCCTCTGTGCCGGGAACAGCATGCCAGCTGGGACCCACTGCCTTGTGCAACCGACTCCTATGGCTACCACTCCTATCCCTTGAGTAACAGCCTCATGCAACCATGTTATGAGCCAGTCATGGTACGGAGCGTGCCTGAAAAGATGGAGCAGCTTTGGAGGAATCCTTGGGTTGGGATGTGCAATGACTCCAGGGAGCATATGATTCCAGAGCACCAGTATCAGACCTACAAGAACCTCTGCAATATTTTCCCTTCTAACATCGTCCTTGCAGTGATGGAGAAGAATCCCCACACAGCAGATGCCCAGCAACTGGCAGCCTTGATTGTTGCTAAGCTTAGGGCTGCACGTTGACATGACATAGGATTTGTTCCTCTATAAAAATATGAATACTGGTACTAATAACACACTAATACTATGATTACAGTAACTAATAATTTGTGCTGCGCTTTACAAGTTATAGAGTGTTTACATCATTTAAGCGCATAACAACCCTGTGAGGCAGGTCTTACTAACATCCTGTTTTACAAAGAAGGAAGCTGAAACTCAGTGAGATTAAGTGACTTGCCAAGGTCACACTGCTAGCAAATGACCAAGTCAAGACACACACCCAAGTCCTCTGACTCCAAGTCCCATGCCCTTTTGCACTGCACCATGCAGGTAATGGAGGACAAAACCTAGGGGGAGAGGTCTAAATGCAAGAAACCCCAAGGGATTCTATTACCAGCGTTTTCTTAGTCACACATTCTGTATCACAAAGTATGGATGATGTATCCAATTTAAAGAGCAAAAGCATCAGGATCACATAGAATATTGAATTAACCTTTTAGGTTTTTTACATAGGAATATTTAAAATTATTTAAAAGTAAATGCATACTTTATTGCATGAGTATCATCTGATCATTCAATATCTTTATTAACCAAGCTATAGGGTCACATTGAAGCTTCTAGAGCTATATTTCAGACCTATTATTAGCAATTATATTGCATGTATCAATGTATATATTTGGTTTGAGATGTGTGTGTATCTCTGTATAACCTTTTATATAGTGAGAAGGTAGGCTCTACACAGTCCTTAGTCGCCAATATTCGAACGTTGCTTTCTTAGGCACCAGAGCAAACCAGCTCTATTTCCTTTGCACTTTTTACTTGCCAACATTTATTAACAGTTCTTAGCTTCCAAGTCTCTTCACCTCAGCAAATTAGGGATCAGGTTACAGCCTTCTTCTGCAGAGCAGCTGATGGTTAAGCTCAAATTCCCAGCATAGTACGTGTGTGCTACACAAGCTCAGAAGAGTTTGACCAGGACCAAGGGTCTTACTACCACATTCTACTCCCCTTAACCCAGAAGAGAGATGACAAAACCCATGTGGCATTAAATGGTGAAAACAAAAGCTTCAGTCGAGGGACTATTGGATGCTCTTTGGACTTCTGACCTATGCAGTATTCAATATCGCAGTATGAAATGTAATGGAGGACAGTGCATAGCCATGTAATCCACTTTCTCCTGCTGTCCACCCTTTGGGCAATAAGGTCAATCATTGGTGGAGCAGAATTCCTTTAGGACACAAAACCAGGAGACTTTCTAGGTGGAAAAAAGGCAGCTTCCAAAAGGGGATGCTGCATCTCTGCTAATAGCTGGCTCAGTTATGCACTTGAAATCCATGCAAAGAGGGTGCACCTGCTGTTAAATTCTTAGATGCATCACTAAAGAAGGCAGGACTTTTGAGTTGGGCAGCAACTTTTGCGCAACTTGTATCTATCTTGCTCAGGGTGGGAACCTTTGTAGCTAAATGCCTCTAGAAGAGGTGTTGTTTTTTTTTTTTTAAGCTGCACAAATGAACCCCCTTTTTTGAATCCATTGTATATTTCAACATTTTGAACCATGACCAGCTCACTATTTCTTGAGCTGGAACTTGCTAACTTCTATGGTCGTTTTTTCATGAAAGTTGAGAAGGCCTGGCCTTGGCCTTTTGTTTTCTTCATGAGAAGGTGTGACACTGCCTATAAATGTTTCTTACTGTGAAACACTCCGAATGTGAGGCTGTAGTCAGGGTTGTTTCTGGTGGTTTGATAAAGGCTTGCATGCTGCTTTCTGTCTCTGTCCAAGCTGATTAATACCGCATCTCAACCAATGTTTCTCTTCAGTTAACCACAGCTTCGCATTCATCTCCTACCCTCTAATCTTCCCATCCCCAAGCATATTGATAAGGTATAAAAGTATCTTCTATCAAGTAGTTCCAGAGAGTGACCGTTGCCACTGCAGTGCTTGTTATTTCACAAACACCATTTCATACCTCCAACTTCTTGAACTTTCTAAATCTCCCCCATGTCTAAATCAGGGTATTTGACAATCTCAGATGACTCTAATCCCTCTGTGCCAGTTACTTCATGTTCCTAGTAAAATCATCAATGGCACTGTAGTATCTACTAGCTGTACAATTTACAGGGAAGCGCAAGATTAACCTTGTCAGCTGCAATTCATCTTGAACATGTTCATATTTAATACTCAAAAAAATTTGAAAGCTCTTCCCAATACACGAAATATTTTTAAGGCAGCATATGTATTTATTTCCTAAAAACAATTGTCATTCTTCTCCTCTCATGAAATGTGTATGAACCAAAGCGGCTAAGAGCAATGCCTCAAATAACCAGAAATGACCTTTTGTTGATACAAATTGTATCTTTTTTTCCTGATTGTATAGAAACAAATGTACAAAACTCATCTTAAACTAGGTTTGGTACTGAATTTTCACCATATTTGTGGCACTGTGTGTCACAGGAAGTAGCCCAGGGGTTGTGAGGGAGCTTTTATTTCCAAAGGGAAGTAGTAGTTTATAGACAAAGACAATTTTTCAAGGTGTCTTTATTACTAGGTGCACATTTGTTGTGTGTACAATTGCAAACATTATATTGCATAAGTTCTTTTTAGCCTATTAAACTTAATAGGTCCTTGCAAAATGAATTTTTTGTAAAAAATGTGTTAATGAATCATGTGCAAGAATCTATAAATGGAGCTGCACAACTATGAATGCATAAATCCAGCTTGGTTTTGAAGTTATTAGAGAAACATTTGCTTTATATTGAGGTCTACGCACTTCTTGATTTTTCCATTTTGTCTGTAATTATAAAACAGCAAATAACAAAAAAGCATCGGGACCCCCTCAGCTCCCTCGATAATAAAATGAAGCTTCCTTCACGGGGCGAGATGTATGTCCTTCAGGATACTTACTTACCTCCAAGCACTCAGCAGGGTTACTGCACAGTGTTTTGTGTGGTTTTCGAGAAGCAGTATATTTTGCAAGAGGTGCTTTGTAATTTTAATTCTTTCACTGATTTTCTGACCTCATAGAAAGTCTGTGCCTGTTCAGGCCTTAGATTGTAGATTTTGTAATTTTTTTTTTTCTTTTTGTGATTTTGTTGTTGTTTTCACTGCAACCTAAAGGAGAAGTGTGACCCTGGAGTGGCATGGTCAATCCAGGGCACCCTTTTTGTAAGACAGCTCAGAGGAACAGGAGCCTTTTCAAAGTTACTGCACTCTCTTAAGGTGCCCAGTGTGGAAGGGAGAATGGCAGATGCCTTATGGAAATGGTCTACAAAGCTTTTCTTCTTCTAAGAAATGAAACACATAGCATGATTTTTCTCTCTCTCTCTCTCTCTGCTAGTTTCCAGAAGAATACTTGTCTAAAATTCATTTTTTCTATTTTGGAATAAATTATCTTTATGCAGTAATGCAAACATTGATATCCACTAACCTTTGGCACCGAGTTTTCTTCTAACATAGAAGAGTTCACTTTGAGAGGTGCTCAGTTACCATTCTATCTATGCTGTAAGTATGGGACATTGTACAAACGCCCTCTTTGAGGGCCAACAATTTCGATACACTTTGTTCTACTCTGTGAACCAAGTCTGGATCTGCACAGGGAAAGCAATGTTGAGCTGTCCAAAGAGCCCTGCTCAGGTCTCCTCCTAACCCTTCTCTACCTTCCCCTAGTTTGCTTCTCCTCAGGTCTGATAGTGAGGAGTACATAGTCTTCAACAGAAACAGCACTATGGTTAGTTCTCATTGGAAACCAAACCAGTGTATTTCTGGAACCTGCTTGTCTAAAGTAGTCAATGCCTTTGTAAAGACTCAACGTATCCAATATCTATTGTATTGTAGCTAGCTATACACATAGGCAGATTGACTATTTTTAGTCCCGGTTTGTGTATCATTGAGCTATAGTAGTTTGATTTATCCATTTGTGGGATTAAACAATACTGTTTAATGGTTGTAAACTTTTATAAAACCTCTTTGGGTTTTTTATTTGACCCAAACATAATGTAAGTCTCAATGACAAAATACACAAAGCCAACCAGAGGTGAGTGAAAATATAGCCCTTCCCCAGTTTTGTCTACCCCTATAATGCATGTGCAATGGTTTGTAATTTGTTCTTACCAGCATGAATATGCTATGGCTACTTCATGTGGTTTTAATTTGTTTCGCCTACAACTGTGATGGAAAATGCTGTATCACTGACAACAATGAACTGTAACCACACTTATTTACTGCATAAACTATCTACTAACCACTCACAGCTCTGTTTCTTTAAGAACATCAACAACAAAAGCCATACCACACACACATATACTCCAGTTTGCTCCTAAAATACTACATTTCTGTCCTTGCAACTTGCCTTGAGATAAGCTATAAGGGCAGGGATCCCACCCAAATGAGTTCATCTTAATTTTACTATAATAAGTATATGCTCTCTAATTTTTGAAGACTAATACAACTCCAAGTGCTAGTCAAACAAACAGGTATTTCCCATAGGGCAGGACTGGGCCTCCAATGGTAGGTCAGAACCCGATGGCAGGCTTAGGACCCAAACTTAATTTCTGTACACAACCTATAATTTCTCCCCTGAATAGTTTCAGGGCCACAGAGACATCATCTGCTGAGCCTTAGCCACAATTTCAGAGCCAGAAGGGACCTAGCACCCTACACTTCACTCAGGGAGTGCTTAGCTACATCAACCCCTCCAAAGAGTGCTGAAGAGATTTGACCAAGGCCAATGAGCCCTTTATCACAGTGGTATCTTCCCTCAGGCCTCTCTGGAGCCTCCTACCCAATGGCCACAGCACTCCAGGCCAGTCTCATTCTAAAGGCAGCAGTGGAGTCTTTGGAAGGGGCTACTCTTGAATCTGATACCTCTTTTTAAAATCATCCTCCATGGGACTAAGAATGCTCATCTCTCCCCACCCTTTTCCTCATGTCTTTTTTACTCTTGCTGCCTCCTTTCACGTTCCTTAGGCATACATGTATCAAGTTCTTACTGGGTACCAAACAGAGGCCAGGCCTACATAGGGCTAGGAAGACAGAAGAGGAAGAAACAGTCCTTGTCTTGGGGAATTTGCACTGTAGGGGGCGAATGAAGCACACTCAAGAGACTAGATTAAGCTATTAAGATTTCCTTGGAGAGCAGTGGCAGCATGAGGGTAAGGAGAATGGTAAGAACAATTATTAGAATTCCATGAAGGGACAATTCAATGTCCAATACTTCTGCCCTAATCACAGATGGGAAATCAACTACTCTGGCCATATCCTTCTCCAACTCACTCCTCTGGCCTCTTAGCCTACCAAGCCGTTCGTATCACCATGTTTAAAGTATCCTGGACCCTGCACTGGTACCCTCAACCATGCTCTTTCTCAGCCTTTTCAGACTTTGACCTTCCTTCTGCTCCTTCTTCTGACTAGTAAAGCCTTGCCTTTGACGACGCAGTGCTAATGTCACGTCCTCTATATGTCTGTCCCACCTCCTGGTCTAGCCATTAGTCCCTCCCTCAGTGGGCATTGCAGGAATATTGAAAAATACTTGTTACTTTCTTATGATTATGTTGACACACAGTCTCCACGCCACAAAACATGGAGTTCCTAGGGGACAGGAACCATGCTCTTCATCACTGATGAATTATTCCTATCAGAGACGGGGGTCTCTCAGTGTTGTTGAATAATAATATAATCTATGCTCCATTCCCTTGACCCCCATCCCTGTTTCCCAGTTGAATGTGTACAGTTCAAAGACTTTTTCTAATCAGTCTCTGACTTCTAATCAGAAGGAAAAGGTCTGAGGGCTCCAGGCTAAAATTGCTTCTGGGTAGCTCCACCTCCCAACCCCAACCCCACCATCCGAAGTCCTTCAACCTGGCCTTACATCTCCCAGCTTTCAGGAGGACTCCAACCAACAATGACCATTGGCTTTTACTCTCTCTGGACCTGGACTAGAAATGAGCTCAGATAGTCTACTCCTCATCTCTAGCTCGGTCATTGAGGGCCATGGGAAATGACTTTGTCCTGGGATATATGAAGACCTGGGTCCTGAGTTCAAGGCTCACCAACCTTGGCACAAATCCACACCACTCACACATACAAAACTTGATATGTTTTAGACAGCACTTTCACATCTATTATCTGTTTTGATCCTTACAACAAGCACGTGCAGCAATTACTATCTTACTTCTACAGATGAAGAGACCATGGCATGATTTGCCCAAGGTTGCTCCTGTTAAGTGGTGGAGCTCACCTGGAATCCAGGTGTTTGGACAGCTTTTTCCTCTTATACCAGCACGTCTCAAACTTCGGTGCACATCAGAATCACCTGAAGGGCTTAAGGCATAGATTGCTGCCCATCCTCAACCTTTATGATTTACATCAGGAGTGAGATCCAATAATCTGCATTTCTAACAAGTACCCAGGTGATGCTGTTAGGAGAAAACACTGATCTATACCAACGTATTAACTTATTCTGTGGCCCTGGGCAAATCCCTTCCTTTCTGTCTGTGTCAACTTCTCAATGCATATAATGAGGGGGCTAGACTAGAACTGAAACTTCCAAACCTTATTTTTTTTAGCAGCAAAACCCAACTTTCAAAAGAAATCTTACAGATGATTCCAATATATACACAATGGATAGTCAAGGCTGCTCTGGTGCAGAGGTGGAGGGAAGTGAGCTTGCAGCATTCATCTGTCCACGGAGCAGACACTGGTACACCTCCCAGAGCACACTTGCAAATCCCTTCAATAGATGTGACCTAGATGCTCTTTGAGGGCTCTTCCCAGCTGACATTCCAGGATGCTGAAAGACTTTTAGCATTTGCCATTGTGGGGGGAGATGGAAAAGTTGAAGGGAAACTGAATGCATTAACCAGTGCACAAGACTGCTTTGTCCATGCCATGGGCCCACACAGGAAAGGAGATCTTAATCCTGTTGGGATAATGGAACCCCTTTGATAATCTAATAAAAGCTGTGGGCCAGATGGGTCAACTGTGGGCCACCTACTCACACACACTCCCTAGAAAAATGATAATATATACATACATATAATGATACTTAGTATTTCTTTTCAGGTGTTGACACCCTAGGGGTCGTAACTCCTTTAAACCCTTGATTGGGCCCCGGCATAGCATTTCCAACAAATTCCTCCTCAGCATTTTCTTAGCGTAATCTCTCTCCTTCCTTTCATCATTTCTTGGTGCAGACACTTACAGAAATCCTTTAAGGTAACTTGCAAAGGCATCATCAGGTCATCACTTGGTGACTGTCCTTCCTCACTGGACTGAAGGAAGGCTCTGGGGGGCAAAAACATGATTCATTCATCCTTATATCTTGGCAGCTGAGGGGAGGCACTGTAAGGTGAGGTGGGACTGTCTGAGGGGATTGGGTGACCATAGAGAAGGGGCTCTGGATCAGTCCCTAAGACATTTCTCTTGCTCTAGTGCCCACCACAGGGAAGCCCATTCTATCTTTTCTAGGCCAAAAGAGTGGAGAATTGACAAAGAGAAGCTTCTCTCTGGCTTTCAACTGATGTTTGGTGCCCAGTGAGGGCAGGTAGGAAGGTGAACAGGAAGCCTGCTGGGTAGCAGCAGGAAGGCCATGAGGAAACTACCTGGCTACTGGCTGGGCTCAGAGGCCAGCTATGCTTCTCCTCTGGGGCCTGATACCTCCAAGTGAGCTGGCACCATACTGCAGCAGAAATGGTTTGAGGAGTCAGGCAGAAGGTATGGGTGGAGCCTGGTTGTGGAAGCAATCAGGGCCAGTGGGCCCAAGGGGCCTCAGGACCTAGCTCCTGCTCAAAGCCCTGTTAGGATCCCACCTTCTCTGGAGCTCCCACAGTAAAGGGAAACTCATTGGTCTGCCCCAGCACCCACCTCCTTCATCTCACAAACACCAAAACGACAATTACCTGTTTATTGTTTTTCAAAACAAAACAGACCCAAAAGACATTCAAAGTTCCACTGTGGTGGAAAGCCGAGCTGACGTGGCTGATCCGGGTTGTCTCTCAGGTTGTCTCAGGGAGCATCAGGTACGCTGGGGCATGGGCTGTTGCCCTGGCAGGGCTGGATGAACACTTGCACCAGGGCTGGCATCAGAAGAGCTGCAGGCCAGTTTTGAGCCCATGCAGCTGCCCCTGGCTCCAGAGAAGGCCCTCAAAGTTGCTGCTGCTGCTGTTGCTGCAGTTGCCACTGCCAACACCACAGCTCAGGCCCAGGGTGCTGAAGAGAGAGTGGGAGGTCAGTCAGAGAAGGAGGCAGCTGTAGGCTCTAGAGGGGCCAAGGGTGCTTGACGTGTGTATCTGTGGGAAAGGCCCACCGTCCTGCCTCGCTTTACAAAGTAGAGACTGGAGGAAATCTGAGAGACAACTTCAGATGAGCCCCAGGGATGGCTGTGACCTCTTCTCAGTTGAGGAAGGGATGGAGGAGGGAAGGAATGGAACTTTTCCAATGAAGCTTTATGCATGCAGAGTCCCACTTACATAAACCACATTAAACCAGAGCTATTTGGGTTGAAGTAAGGGAAGGGACCCTGTACCATCCCACCCTCAGGAAGACATTGAAAGTGGCTTCTTTAACAGGGCCTCCTTTCAAGGCCCTAGAGCTTGGGAGCCCAGAAGACTCTGCACTGGATCCCTCGCCCACCCAATAGCTGGCTAAGTGGACCGAGGCCAGGCTCAAGCTGTAGGGCTAGGCCCAGTTCCCATTCCACAACTGCAAGACTGCTTCTAGAGAGGGTAGCTCTGCCCCCCGCTCCCTGGCCCTGCTCAAAATACTCTTGCTTCCCCTGCTTCCTTGCAGGTCAAAAGTCCTTGCAGCTGGATAAGGGTGATAACTGAGAGCAAAGACATCATCCTTGCCCTCAGGCAGATCCATGGTTACACTACTGCAGCTGAAAAAACCCTTAGAGACGATCTAGTCTCACCCCCTCCCATAACCCAAAACCCTGCATACAAGGAAAGTGAGGCCCCGAGATGAGAAAGGACTTGTCCAAGGCCACAGAGCCAAGTCAGGGGTGGAGCTGAGATAGGAACAGGGGTGGGCATGCCCCTCCCCAGCAAAGGAAGCCTCCCTACTACACGGGGTGTGGGGAGCTGGGCTGGATCAGCTTCCTTCTTGATTGAACAGCTCCACCCAGCCACACTGCACCCTTGATACCCTGCTGCTCACAGAGCCAGCCTTACCCAGGACCGGACTGGTTGGGACTAACAGGAGAGGGGGCCTCTCTCTGAAACATGTGAACCTCACTCCCAGCTACCGATCACCTGGCTTCCTCAGCTGCCTCCGCTCTTCTCCAAACAGGTCTGCTGCCCCCTGGCCTCAGAGTCCATGGTGTTGCCTTGGGCATGGCCTGCTTCTGGGTCCCCTGGGTTCTCCAGCCCTTTCCCAGAATGCTCATCTCCCAGGGAGTGGGCAGGCAGCACAGGGTAAACTCTCGATTTCAGGGGCCCACAGGGGTCTCTCTCTGGTACTCACAGGATTCTCCTGGTCACAATGGCCCAGCATTCCGGAATGTACAGGCCCTCTGGATGGGCTCCTTACCAGCATAGCCCCTCAGCAAGGGCTGCTTGGTTCCTGGCTGCCTGTCGACCCAAGGGCTCCCATGCCTGTGATCCAGAGGTGAATTTCGAGGGAGAGCATGGAGCCCTGTGCAGGCCTTGCTACCAAGATGCCTGGACAGTGTGGGGAAGCCTGCTGATTACTCTGTGCACTTTTGGACAAATCCCTTCCCTTTTCTGGGCCTCAGTTTTCTTTTCAGGAACATGAGAAAGCTGGATTAGAGTATCAGTTCTTGACCTTTTAGGAGCAGTGGATCCTTTAGAGAATCCATTGATGCTATGGACCCTTCTCTTCCCAAAATGCACACACATGCATGCACGCACCCACCCACCCACTCGCACACGCGAACTGAATACAATCTGAGGGGTGCCAAACCAGCTTTGCACAGCTGCTTCACTGGCTCCCCACGCTAGGGACAGGGAGTCCTGGCAAGGGCCCAGCCAGGGACTGGAGCTTATACTTCACTCATTTAGGCCCTGACTGGGACAGCTACCTCCCCCACTCACCACACATTGTTTCCTTCTCTCCCTCTCGCAGGCAGCACAGAAAGGGAATGAGATCCTGCTGCCACCGTCACTCACCCAGTCTTGCACATTGGGGGTTCCAGCCGCTGCTCTAGCACAGGCTGGTCCAAAAGATACATGGTGTCATAATTCTCCAGCATGAGCTCTGCTGGGTCTTCGCTCTGACCTGGCATTCCGCCTAGGGGGAACGTGTCCCATCGCACATCTTCTGTGGAGCAAAGGGAGGTGCCGACAGTGGGCTGATGAGCTGGTTCTCTAACCAGTGCACAGGCACACCCGCCCCGTCCATCCGCCCACCCCACCTAACCTGCTCGGCATGGGCGGGATCTCTGGGCTTCTCCACTCTCACTCCTCTTTGCGTCACTTAGGAGCTCCTCTCCACCTAAGTGCCCACCACACATTCCACACTCCACCACACATTCTTTATGGCCCTTCCCCCCTCTGTATGTTTACGCACACACACATACACACGCACACAAAAAAAAAACCAGACACATTTTTGTTCCTCTCTGCTCTTCTCCCACTTCTCCAGGCATGTTCCCGCACAGACAACATCTTCAGAGGGCGCCATATCACTGCCTCAGCCTCTCACCTTCACCCCTATTTCCGTGCCTGTGTAGACAAAAACACACAGTGCACTCTCTCTCTCTCTCTTCCCTAGAGGGCCCGGAGCTCCCAGAATCCCCACAGCACCCCTCCCCGCCGCAAACCCACTGATACGTCAGAGTATCTGAGTGACCTAGATTTCCTACACATCTCCACGCACACACACCCCACCTGTTTGAATGCCACATCCTTTCTTAGTAGCCATGCCTGGAGAGAGGCACACACACCCCCACGCCCACCTCAGGGTGGGCTCTCTCTCAGAGGTAGTTTGCTCCCCACCCTCTGCAAGGGCTTCTTGCCCCCAGATGCAAAAAAGGAGAACACCGCTCTGGAAGGGCTGTCTCCCTGTACATGCCACCTCCCATGGCCACCCAAGTATGTACATGGAAGCACACATACCAAACTCTGACTCACTGGATGTCCGCAGTTTCACTCCCTGTCCCAGGTTTCACCCCCTGCCTCATTCGCTGGCACATAAATCATGGATCTTCAGGTCCCTACCCCCCCACACATATGTACACACACACGGGAGCACTGGCAAAGGGGAGAGGGAAAGAGAATGCCCGAGCCTTTCCACATTCGCACACCTGGCCCCTCACACACACATATGCCAGGCCCCATCCCCTTTGCCCTATCACTTAGACACCCTCCACACAGTATATCAAATCCCCCTCGTCATCCTTACACAAATGCACTGAGTGTTTTCAAGTGAAGCCTTCACTAGTGAGTTCCGTGCAGATTCTGTTCCTGGCCTCCTACATCTCCCTGGTCCTCAAAGAATTTTCCCTGTCATAATGCCCCTGGCATTTTGTGAAGTATCAAGCCCCAACCAGCTTTTTATGTAACCTGGGGAGAAGCCCCCTCAGGATGGGCTCTGCCCACCCATCCCCGTCCACTGGCTCTCTTACAGGAAGCCGTTGCTGTCTTAACGCCCTGCATCGTCCTATGATACAGACGCAACTTCATAAACAGAGGCCACTCCCCACACAGGCTGTCACTGACCTGACCATCCATCCCACTATTAACATGCCTAACCCTGTCTACATCACTTTTGTGCATGTCCCATCAGTGACAGCACAGACACACAGGCCACCTCTGGATGGCTGTCTCACTGCCAGTTCCCATGTCCCTCCATAGACCCCCACCTCTCATTGCTGCCACTTCTCTCCCTCATACAGATACGTCCTGGCCCTCATGGGTCTTGGTGGCCCTGCCTCCTCTTCCAAAAACATACATGACTGTGTATGCATACATGGTCACATAGCTGCACGACAGCCTGCTTTACCGTGTCTTCTCCTTTCACTGCCCCTTTTCTCTCTTCTACATACGCACACACCCCTGCCTGTGTCAATGTCCCTCCCTTTCAATATTTAGAGATCCCTAAACATAGACCTTCTTGGCCTAAGAGATTTTTGTCACCATGCCATGGTTTTTCCAGCAAGTACACACACACAAACACTCATACACACAGACACAAATGCATCCCCCCACCACTGGTACTAGGGCCTTTACACTCCAGCCATTCCGCACCCATCCACACAAGGGCAAAGGCCACACCTTTCCCCTTAAACCAATTCACTGCCTCCTCTACACTACACCCAGGCCCAGCTGTCCTCCCTCCCTCCCTCCCTCAGGCTCCAACAGAGGCTGGGCCCTGCCTCTAGTGTGTACACGTATGTACGTGTGTACATGTGCACACATGTGCCCATGCACACACACCAGCCTATTCTGTCATTCCTTCGGAGTCTCCCTGCTTTGAGGTTCCTGCTACTTAACCTAAACAAGAATACTCCAAAGACCACCCTCAAAGGAGAAGATTCCTATCACCAACCTTCCCTGCAGCCCCGTCTTGGCTTTGGTCTCACTAACGTGTGTGCTCACCTGAAAACCACAGTACTTCTTAGTCTCTCTTCTGATTTCACTTCTCTGACTTCATGCCCTAATACAGCAAAATCCTGTTTCACCAGCAGCCAGCCTCCATGTGTACGTACACACGTACAAATACACAGAAAGCAGTCTGGGTCTCAATGAACATAAAAACACATGCAGCACCATATACATATTATACCCCCTTCCTCTCGCTTTCTCCTGCCTCTGTGTTATGGCCCAGTGCACCATCGCCCCATAATGTGCTCTCCATTATAACCAGCCAGAAGGCGGACCGTGGCCCTGCCCCTGGTGTGCTCATACGTTCCATCCTAAGGGGAAGGGAAGCCAGCTGTCATCCACGTACCAGGCCACCTCCCAGGCTTGCTCACACTGGTTACCTCCTGCTACTTTCTGTCTCTTTCCTAGGGGGAGGGAAGCCTCAAGAACCAGCCAGAGAGGGAAGAAGTTGGTGTGGGGACAAAGTGGATAGCGGGTTTCTTACCAGAGCTAACCTGCCATGCAGAGCCCTGCAGAGCTCCTCTTTTCTGGGCCAGGAGCCTGGCATTCTCAGCAGTGGGGGACTCCTGCCCTATAGAGAAAGGCCCCTCCTCCATTCTGTCTTCCTCTTCATCCTCATCATCATCGTCATCGTCATCCTCATCGTCATCCTCATCATCATCCTCATCATCATCCTCTTCTTCCTCTTCTTCCTGGTCATAATTTTCTTCTTCCTCCTCCTCTTCCTCCTCTTCCACCTGGTCTTGCAAGACCTCTTTCTCTTCCTTCTCTTCTTCCTTGACATCATGAATGCTGCCCTGATCCTCCTGCTGCTGCTGGGCCTTTGTTTCAGACCTGAGGCTGGAGCCAGCTGGTTTGAGACTCCAATACAGGCTGTCCAGCGTGTACGGACACTTCCCAATGGTGGAGGCCTCGAAGCCCTCCTGCACCAAGCTGTTTTCTCCGCTCTGGGTATAAATGGAACAGATGCGCAGCAGCTTCTCCTGCTCCCCATCTGGCAGGACCTGCCCCATGGCTTTGAAGATGCTGAGCAGAGGGAGGGATGGGGTAGGAAAGATTGAAAATCTCAAGTCACTTCATACCCCAACACTCTAGGATTTGAACTTGGTATCTGAGCTTCCAGACCTGCCTCTGAAAGGCAGTGCAGTAGAGAAGACAGGACATAGACACAATAGAACCATGGACCCTGAACAAGCTCTGTGGTTCATCTCTGTGTCTCACTTCCATTCTCAGTAAAATGAGGACAATAATGGTACCTAACGTATAGGGTTGTTGGAGAGGTAAATAAGAAAGCTCACATAGGATGCCTGGCACAGTGCCTGGCACATAGTGGGCATGCAATAAATGATAGCTATTAGTCTGCACCGAGATGCTATGTAAATACACAAACCAGCCAATAAACATGCAGGGCTGGAAATGAGAATGGCGGATCCCTCTCTCCTCTGGCCTAGCTCAGCAATCTGTCCTGAGCTCCAAGGATATGCCTAGAAGTGTGCTGAGCTCCTTCTGGGTGGAACACAAAGTGTGATCCCTGTACGGGAGCAGCTACAGCCCAGCCTGGAAATGGAAAAA